CGTATTGTGGATGTTTTGCAAGCTCATTTCGTCCCTAAACCGCTGGTGATAGTGGAGAGATTCCGGTTTCACAAGCGTAATCAGGGGGAAGGGGAAACAGTAGCACAGTATGTCGTGGTGCTGAAAAAACTTTCGGAACATTGTGAGTTTGGTGCATATTTGGAAGACGCACTATGGGACAGATGTGTTTGCAGACTGAAGTGTGAGACTGTTCAGCAGTGCCTTTGGACGGAAAAAGATCTCACGTTTCAGAAAGCAGTTGATTACGCCGTGTCGGCAGAAACGTGTGATGTGCAGCAGCTAAGCGGTTCTGTTAAAGTGAACGCGGCATTTTCCCGACAATGTGGCTGTGATGGCTACAGCCACACAGTAAGACCTGAAACATACTTGCATTCTTAGTTGATTTATATTGTATGCTTTTTGCTTTATTTATTTGCTTTATTGTCTTAGTTGATGCATTTTGCCTTTTGTGTTTGGGGTAGTATACATATTTTGATATTGTAGGGTTGTGTGCAATGATTAATTTAGACAATCATTTGGTTTGCAGTTACTTTGGTTGTGGGGGATGGTCTTTTCTATTCAGCATAAAGGTGTGGGTGAGGGCAGAGATCTCTTAAAAGGATGACCCCTGGAGCAGGAGCAAACCATGTGCTGCCATGGCAAGAGGGGGGAGTTGGGGTTTAGTTGTGTTTTGCTCTGTTTAATTATATGTAGTGATTATTTGGTTTACCCCTTTGTGTGTTAATTGGTTTGGCCAAACCACTATATATGTTCCCTCGTGTCTCTTTATTAGGAGTTTCGTTTTGTTTCAGTTAATACTTTGCTTTGTAATGTTAAGTTTTGTTCATTTTTGTTGACCTCTCTTATGGGCCCAGTGATTAAGATCTTGAGTTTGTTATTGTTTGTATTTTGGGGGTCAATAAAGCCCTATTCCTTTAAGTTCCTGTGTTTGTGTCGCCTTACTGCCTGGTCCCTCACAGTGGCAAATGCCGCCGTTGCGGGAGAACGAATCATACTGCTCGTACAAAGATTGTGATTGCCACCAGTGTGGGAGGAAAGGTCACACAAAGCGCATGAGTAAAGACAAAAGCAGCCAAGATGGAGAAAGGAAGCGGAAAGAGGGAAAAACCTAAACAGAAAGGTAATGTAATTAAGCGCAATGTACAAGATAAGAAGAGAATTCATCATGTAGAGGCAAGGGAAAATGGAAGCAAAAGTGAAGAAAATAAATCTGACACTGACTATGAGCTGGATCTGTATTCGTTGTCTCGAAAAGGAAATTATTCGCAAATCTCTGTGTTGCCTGTAGTAAATGGGAAGAAAATGGAAATGGAATTGGATACAGGGGCTGCTGAGCCAAGTGCCCCTGCAACCCACGGATCTCATGCTAAAGACATACACTGGAGATCCACTGGCACCAGAATGGGTCATCAAAGTGCAAGTTAGATTAAATAACCAGTGTGCTGAGTTGCCTTTGTACATTGTGAAAGTGGATGCACCCTCACTGTTTGGTAGAGAATGGCTGAGAGTTATTAAACTAAACTGGAAAGATTTAAAGACTGTGCATGCCATTGAGTGAAGAGTAAAAGGCAACTTGGAGACTGTGCTACAGAGACACTCAGCTGTTTTCTCTAAAAAGTCAGGCACAATGAAAGGGATTAAAGCCGAACTGAATCTTAGACCCAACAGTGTACCCAAATTCTGTCCACCACGCAACGTGGCTTGTGCTCTTCGACCTCGAGTGGAGGCCGAGCTGAAACGCCTAACTGAGCTTGGGGTGATCTCACCAGTGGAGCACAGTGACTGGGCCACACCCGTGGTGCCCGTCAATAAAAAGGATGGCACAGTGAGACTCTGTGGGGATTTCAAGGTCACCCTCAACCCAACTCTCTGTGTGGATAAATATCCAATTGAATGCATTGAGGACCTTTTTGCCTCTCTAGCAAGAAGTCAAAGTTGCCTATCTACAGATGGAGGTAGAAGAGGAGTCCAGGACAGTGCTGACTATCTCTACACAAAAAGGGCTATTCTGTTTTAATCTCTTACCTTTTGGCAAAGCGTCATCACCCGCCTTATTTCAGAAGGCTATAGACCAAGTGTTTCCTCACTGTTACCTTGATGAGATCTTCGTGACTGGTCCTGACGAGCAGACACACCTCAAAACTCTGGATGCAGTTTTGGGCAGGCTAGAAAAGTATGGCCTGCACTTCAAACAGGAGAAGTGCCTGTTTTTCAAGGAGTGTTTTGAATACTTGGGCCACATAATTGATGGGGCTGGGCTTCACATATCACCAGAGAAGGTATGTGCCATTGTGGCAACACCAGCACTATGTGATGTCAGCCAGCTACGTTCTTTCCTGGAAATAATAAACTATTATGAACGTTTCATTCCCGACGTAGCCGCTGTCCTGAAAGCACTGAATGAATTGCTCAGTAAAGAAAAGCATTGGACGTCAGCCTGTGAGTCAGCATTCCAGAAGGCTAAAGCACTCCCAGTATCACAGGAAGTGTTGACCCACTACAATCCTGAGCTGCCCCTCCGCCTTGCGTGTGACGCTTCACCTTGGAGCTGTGCTTTCGCACATGATGCCTGATGGTGAAGAAAAAACTCTCAGCAAGGCGGAAACAAAACTATGCTCAGATCGAGCATACCTCTATGGTAACAAATTCACCTTGCTCACTGACCATCGCCCGCTGATTTCCATCTTAAGTCCATTGAAATGTACACCATCAGTGGCTACGGCCCGAATGCAACATTGGGCACTCCTCGTGTCAGTGCACGAGTACACCATTCAATACCAGAAGGGTGCATTACATGCAAATGCTGATGGACTTTCACGGTTACCACTTCCACACGCTCATAAAGAATAGCTAAGTGCAGTAGATGTATTTTATACATCTCAGTTGGACACTCTACCAGTCAGTAACACCGAGACCAGATGTGGACCCAATGTCTGACCCCATTTTGTCTCGTGTCCTGGAAATGGTCACAACTAGTCATTTTCCAGCTGCTAGGGACGTAGGTGAAGATCTGTCACCATATCTGCTGCGCACGCATGATCTCACCATGCAGTTGGGGTGCCTCATGTGGGGCGTGAGAGTGATTGTGCCACCAAAACTGTGCCCCCGGGTTCTGAAAGATCTCCACACCCATCCAGGTGTTGTAAGGGGCGCAGCACTTGTGCAACAACGCCTTGACACATATCTATTGGCATATTGCAACACCCCTCAGGCAATAACAAAAGAAATGCCAGCTATGTTGTTCCTCGGACGCAAGTTGCGCTCTCAGCTGGATATTGTAACGAAACGGGGTTGTGCTCAGTGGTGTAAAGGAGGAGGTGGAAATATTTTAGCAAGAAAAACACACGAATACTATTACATTATACTATTACTTATAACGACATCACCATCTCATGCCTTAAAGAGACACCACACAATTAGGCTGTTACAATATCCTAAAACCCAGTGTTGCTGGGGTGGTGCACGGACCCGAAGATGCTCAGCAACAATGTGGCCAACAACGCTCTAGGGACAGGCAGCTTGATGTGGGGGAGCCAGTTCTTATGCGTGGTTATAGGAAGGGGGAGGAGAAGTGGGCACAGGGGGTTGTTTTGGAGAAGGCTGGTCCTGTGTTGTACAAGGTAAATGTGGGAGCACAAGGGGTATGGAAGCACCATGTGGACCAGGTGCTGACACGTCCTGATCCTGAGCCTCAGCAGGCTGCTGTGAACCCTCCTGTAAGCCTGCCTGTGTTACTACCACAGAGTGAAAGTGGCACCACACTTCACCCTAGTACACCGCATCATAAAGAAAATGATGATCGGGTGCCGATATCACCGAACCACCACAAACACACCAGTCCACTGAACCACCACCAACTGGACATACTCGGGGAACAGAGACTGTAAGATGCTATCCCGTGAGGATCACTAAACCACCAGTATGTTACTGTGATGCGTGGACTATTTTGAGACTATTGTTTTCAACAAGTTATATACTAGAAGTAAAATAACTTTTTGTTTGATGTTAAAAAAAAAGGCGTACCTTGAGGTTGTGTAAAGGAACCGTGTATTCTTATTGTTGTGTTGAAGAATATGTTTTCAGGTGTTACAGACAACATATTTCAATGGTGAGGAAATCTTGTATATGAAACTAAATGTTGTGTTACGTAAATAGTAACCGGTAGGTGGCACCAAGCTTTTGAGGTGTTATGTACCAAGTGCAATAATGCAATAAAAAGAACAACTAGAGTTGGTGGAACCTGAAGAAAATGTGTTGGCGTGACTCAGGGTCTGCATGTGAAATAGTCTGCATGTAGACATAAGGGAATAACATAACAGTGATTATTGTTGATTTCTACTCAAAAAATCATATTTTATCACAAGAATATTTGTTAATGCATTATGGGAAAATTCTGAGTTAAGGCCTGTCAAACTTGGCTTAAAAACAAAAAAAAACATGGATTTCAAAATGCTTTTTCTTTAAAATGGTACAGTAAATGTTGACAAAATTTTGTTTGGAAATAACCTTTAGGATTTTGCCTTTCAGATAGTATTAGAATTTTATATATTATGGGAAAATTCTGAGAAATATATCAAACTTGGCTCGTATAAGCAAATGTGTATAAAACCATGGATTTTGAAGTGTCTTTTTTGAAAATGTTCCAGTAAAAGTTGACCAAATTTTGTCTGGAAATAGCCTTGGACCTTACCTTTCAGAAGGTATAAGATTTGTTTATACATTATGGGAAAGTGAGAAATTAATTTTATTTAAGTACACCCTGTACGTCATACATATGACTATAAATTACCTTTTTCATATTTGTGATTGCGGAGTCTGCTATTTTATGTGATGTGATACTGTAATGTTACATCTATGTGTGCACCACACATTATACGCATGGTTGATTTGACCGGATATTGGCAAAGCGCGGATAGCTTGAATGCAGTAATAGTTTCAGTTATTGAAGTCTGGGCCCGCCGTTTTGAAAAGAGTAAACATTAAAAAAAGACATACTTTATTTCTGTAAAAAGTTGAACATGAAAATGAAATGTTAAAAACGGACACAATTAAAGGGGTGAATTAAAACAAATAGGAGCAGTTTTCACAATGCATGGGGTCAGGAATACTGACAGTTATCTGTGATCATCTACTGCTTGTCAAAATGACAGTAGCTTTCATCTTTTGCCTAGTACCATGTCCACATTTAAGGACGGTACCCCTTCCGTGTGTTTTCAAACAGACTTGACCAATGGAATCTCTGACACTCTTAGTCACTCCCTGTTCCAAGCCACTCCTTGGTATTTAACCTTATCCACCCAAGCAAAGAAGTTACAGCAGGCTTCTGGGTTGGAGGCGTGTCCCTGTGGCCTGGCACACACGAAGAACCGGTGACCCAGGTTTGGCTCCGCTTTCTTCACCATCCTCAGCATGCAGGGTTCCTTGTGAGCCTTGCAAAGTGATGATTGCGGTGGCCTCAATTTGATTTAAGAGGCAGCGGAAAGCCGAGTGTTTCGAGTGCTGGGTTATGTAACTTCCCACATTTTCTGATAAAAATGCTGATACAAGAGCGGTTGATTTGGCCATTTTGGTCGGGCAGTTTCACTGTGGCGGATGTATCCTTCTGCTATTCTTCAACATCCTTATTACCCTTCTCATCCTTATCAAAGCCAAAGACGTGCATGACTGAGACTGGCACTCCAGTAGGGTAGGGATGTGCTGTCCTGCCTTCATGTCTTTGGCTGAAGGTGATGTGTTAGTGTCCACCTGTGCTTTATTGTCCTCCAGATACCCAGTCCATAATGATGAGGGATATGCTGATCACCATAAGCAAGAGTCCTGCAGCTGCGAAACAGGCAGCCTGACGTCGAAAGGAGAGAATAAATGAGAAAACATCTTAGTGTGATTAATTACACACTGCAAGGAAGTGCTGCTCTTGGGGAAGAGGATGTACCTGAATCTTTGGTCTGGAGTTCAGTGGTTCCAGATTCTTGGGGACAATTCTTATGTAGAATATTCCTGGAAGTATGAAGATCAGGGTGGGTGCTGATGTGGCTCCTGGAAAGAAAGGGACATGGGACTCTTTGGTCAGGTCAGGAGGGTCATCTGTCTGAATAAACATCCATCAGTTTATGAAAACCTTTCTAGATGCGTTTCAGCTTGGTGTCTGAAAACCTGATGAAGAGCTAAAACTGACCAATGACTCCAAAGATGTCTTTGATGTTGGCTACCAAGATGACCAGGATGTTGACAAAGACCAGCAGGCCGAATGTAACACTGATGTGACGCACCCAACTGAAAGGCTTGTCATGAAAAAAGATTTGGAGCAGGGCTCTCCGGATCTGTGGAGAAGTACAGCAAAGAGTGTCAATACTGTGACCTTGTGATATCATACACATTCAAGAAGATGGAAGGGGCCTTACAGGGAAGATGATCACAGGCACTGTGAGGGTCACAGCCATGAGCACGGCCAAACGTACACACAGAATCAGGTGGTCTGCACTGTCTCCCTTGTAGGTATAGATGAGCTCTGACTCCACCTTATCTGTACACAAAATCAACCAAAGTAAGTTATTAGAAAGTCCAAAACCAGAGCATCTCTGTCATCTTACAGGTTATCTAAGCACCCATTATGCTGCCATTTGCATAGGGCTACATAATGAGTTTATAATGCCTTTCCTTTCTGCTTACCATAGAAGGTGAGGTAGCCAAAGACAGCTGTGAGAAGGTACATGACAAACATTGCTATGATGGAGATGTTAGCAACTCTCTGCATGCGCTTTTTTGTCGCCCTGGTGAAGAAAGGCAGAGATGCAGAATTCCTTAGTGACTGTCAATTCTGTCAATGACGTGTACTTCTACATACAAAAATAACAGCAGCTTAATAACTAGCATTCATGCAATATGATGTCATTATAGTATATAAAAGTTCCATTTCACAATTGTATAGGTTTTCATAGAAAACAAAAGTGAAACTGTTTAATGAAGACAACAGTTAAAAGGGATTAATTTTTTTACTAAATTGCCATGAGAAGCACTTCTCTTTGCAGACGGTAGGGGACTTATTCAAAATAATGTAACTTTTTTGTTAGATATCCCAGATCTAGCCTTAGCTAAACTTCCCATGTCATCCCCAGCTCTTCAAATCCTATGAGTATTAAAATGAGGCCGGTTTGTTTGATGGACTCACTTCCAGAGTTCCGTGTAGATGGGCAGAACCTCTGGGTGGCAGACAAAGGCAAATGCCACAATTGGAATGGCGTACGCCGTCTGTAACCCAAACACATGGGGGTAAGGACACTAATTCAGCAGGTACTCCAGGACCTGCATGCATCCTCAAAGCATCACAACATCATAAACTGTCTGACCCTTGAGTTAAACGTGATGAGTTTGGCCTCGCACACATCGTCTTCACTGGTGCTGTTGACCATGACTGTTAAGGGCTGGGTCAGGTTGTGGTCTTCTAAAGGACATCCGACATTAAACTTTTTGTAGATCACCTTCAAAACAAGACACAAAAGTTGCCCGTGCTTACACAGGCCTTCCCTGGCTGTTGGTGTTGATAAAAGATAATGGTTCTTAATTTCCCCCAAATACCCCCTCCCCCTACTTACAGAGATAAGGAAGAACACCATGCATGTCAAGGAGAGTCCACTACTGTACCCAAGGTATCCTGTAGTTTCATTAGGATAAAAACAACAGAAAAAATGATAAATTAACATAATTGAGTTCAAGGAATGCTTTAATACCAGCTTGTCAGCAGTAACACTCAACACTGACACAGAAGATTGGGAGTTTCCTATCATGGGGAGGAACCGATGCAGAGGGAGTGCACTCATCAACTCAGAACTCACCAAGCTGCCGCATGAGGGCAAGAGGCAGGATAATAATCAGGCTGGCAATGATGATCAGGTAATCCCCTTTCAGATACCACTCTCTGGGAACAAGACAAGTGCATCAGGCAAAGAACAACAGAATCCTAAATCCTAAATCATGCTGGACCACTCTCATTGGCTTTTATTGAAATGTCATAGCAGCATCGGAATAGTGTTTAGCTTGCAGGCAGGGTTGTTCCACGTCACAATATACTGTAATTGCTTGAGACCAAAGTTTGTTATATTAGGTTAGTTTGCTGGAAATACACTCAGTGACAGAAAAAGTTAAGTACCCAGATAGAGTGGTGGGAATGAAATTAATCTGCAAGTGGTGAAAGGTCATGTGACTGTATCGCAATGATTATAATGTCAGATCAAACGGACAACAGAATAGGCAGTATGGGCACACTGCTGGTCCCATGTCAGTAGGGTGTGGCACCCCCCAGGACTGCATACATGCGGCGATAGGGTGCGGAAGGGAATTGCACAGCCGTTCCTGCAGTAAATTCACCCACAGCTGTTGTAACTGGCCTTTGAGATCCTGCAGATTATATGGCACTGTATCTGAGTTGATGTCCGAGCTGATCTACACATGTTCGATTGGGGAAAGATCAGGGGACCTGCCTTGCCATGCAGGCAGTCCACAGACACACGTCCCGTGTATGGGCGGGCATTGTCTTGTTGAAAGACTATACCAGGGTGCTGTCTCAGCTCTGTGCCATCAGGATTCCCTGAATCACTACCAGAGATGACCTGAAGTCATACCCTATGGCTCCCCACACCATCATGCCAGAAGGTGTCTCTGTTGTCTCTCCTCAACATTGGCAGGATTGGTCCCTTCCCCTCGGTGCCGCCATACGCGCACACGGCGGTCATCTGTGGTGATACAGAACCGAGATTTTTCACTGAACATGTACGACACCAGTCGTCATCAGTCCAGGCCTCCCGGTTACGGCAGCACTCCAAACGCAGCCGTCTCTGCGCTGCTGTTAACGGCAGCCTATTCATGGGACTGTGAACCCGTAGTCTGGCTGATGCCAGTCATCGTGACACAGTGCAGGATGACACAGGGTGTTGTAGAGACTCCCATACCTGTGTCCAGATGGCAGGGCAGATGTCACGGGGTTCTGTAAAGCTTTGCGCATATTATAACAATCTTTCCTTGGTGTGGTCTGTCTTGGGCGACCAGAACCTTCACTACGTATGTGGGTGCCTTCACGTGCCCATTGGATCCAACATCGGGCGACTGTGACATCTACATACCCCACAGGCCAGACAATTGCACAATACGGCCACCCAGCCCTTGCAAACCCACAATGTGACCCCTATCAAACTCTGTCAAGTGCTGGTAATGCTGTCTAATGCATCTACGAGGCATCCTCTGTGTCTGGTGACTAGACATGCCAGCTCCTTGCAAATCGAGACATTTACAGTACATAGCCATCACTGGTCTGCACATGTACCAAATTACAGTACATCCAAATCGAACCATTACTTCTGGGTGCTTAATTTTTTTTTTGTCAATGTAAATTAAACCAAGTAAAGTGAATAGGAAGGAAAAAAAAATAATTCTGTAAAATGTAGGATTTTGCATTTCAGGATTATTAAAGGCAGACCTATTTCTGAATCACAACATACACCCACTGGGCCAGACTGGTCCAGCACTCACCCGGAGTTGGATGGGGTTCCCAGAAAGGCTCCAATAACCAGTGGCAGCTCAGACTTCACAATGAAGAGGTAGCTGGAGATGGCTGAAGACAAGACCAACAGCTTTGAAAACCATAACAGAAATGGACTCTCCTTTCAGTAAATATACTCCTGGCCTGATCTGTGAATGTTGTCTACATGGATCTAATTTATTTCATGGATAATGATCATGGCTTTCAGACTTGCCAGCACATCACAGCACAACACGGAGCATCCAGTGTTGGTCACACGGCTCTATGATGTTATCAGAATGAGTTTGCCCTGCGTGTGGTTTTTCCCCCGGTGCAGGTTACCCTAAAGGGGAGCAGCATTATCTCCCTGCTCTGGAACAGTAATCTCACAGCCTCCTGGCAGTCAGGAGGCCAGATGCTCCTCCCACTTGTGCCGACTCACCTCCGATGTTGTGTATGGAGATGACACAAGCCGCCAGCACTTTCCCCCGAACACCGAAAGCCTGATTACCCAGCTGTTCATAGGAACGGATCCCTGTGAGTCATATAAACCGTAGAATATATGTTACTAACAAGTAATGGAAAAATGCACAGTAGATAAACAGTCAGTGCATGAGGACCTTTTAAACCATGTATGTCATCAGCATGTTTCCAAATGTAGCAGGACTTTATGCTTGAGGCACATAACAGATAGATTAGCTGGTCATCTATGCTAATCTTATTAAATGAAGCCTGGTGGAACAGTGTGTGCATTTTACCCAGCCAGGTGGGGTCTGTGATATAATGCATGATATGAGCAGCTTACCTACAATACCGGCGCTTCTCAGGAGAAGGTGAATTGAGTAAGCAGACAAGGTGGCAATACTGGTCAGCAGAATCCTGAAGAGCACAGACAGGCATGGACAGACTGCACACACCATGTAGTGCTAATTCCACAGCTCTATTATGCATGTCTAACACTGACAAAACCCACAGTGAGTGGGATAGATGTGCACTGTTAATCACAACGATTTTGCCTGATTTTCTATTTAGGCTAAACCAGGCTGTGACTGACAATGCCTGGCTGTACCAGCAGCTGTGGTTTATAAGCTCCTGTTTCTTCACTTAGTAAGTTTATCAGTTTGTTAGTGAACCATGTAGAGTAACATTAAATGTCAGAGATATATGCTCCTATTCGAAGGATAACAGTAGACCTGCTCTTTTGCAGTATTGTGTGTGTGTGTGTGAGAGAGAGAGAGAGAGAGAGACAGAGAGACTTTCAGCTGATTTACTCACACGAAGAGGATGATTCCAGTGTTGGCCATGGCGTATGCCAAGCCCAGAATTCCACTACCCATGATGGCATTACTGAGGTTGAAGATGGACATTCTCAAAGAGGTCTTTCCAACAAACTGCATTGGGACAACAAAACCAAATTTAACTCTAACATGCTAATTTCTTGTGCTTTATTTTATATAATTGTCAAAATGATGATCTCCTTTTTTACATTAATCATCGCATTTTCTGATCTATACTGCTAGATTGCTGTCTTTCCTCTTTGTTTACAGGACACCCTTACTCACATCAGTAAAGTGACTCTGGTTTTGCTCATCAGGCATATGAGGTAGGAACTCCTCACGTTCTTCTGGAGTGACTTCAGCATCATTAACCCTTGGCAAAACAGTCACATCTTCATCTGTACACCTATTCAATTTTAGTTTATTTATTTACAACTTTACAACACAAATTTATTTACAACAATAAAAATAATGCTACATTATTATGACACAATCCTGTTGATTTTAATTGGCATTCTGCCCCCCCCCCCATCATTTCATCACTAGGCCCATCTCACCTAGTTTCAATGGTCACATGCTCAGGGTAATGGACGCCATTTGAAAGCTTTTCCAATTCCATGATGTTGCTATTGGGTCCAATCAGGTCCTCTGATACTAATTTCCCTGGGAGGAGGGTTTACTGGCTCTGAGGGAAACTTAGATGGTCTCAGACCTGGTGGGGCTGCAAAGAAAACCAAGAAAAACATGATCTCAGCCAGCTCTTGGTCAGTATAGTTCTAACATCTTGAAGAAATTCAAAAACATGGAACTTACAGATATGGACAGAACAAACATATTGCTTGATGGATTTGCAACTAAGCTGATGACTATTACAGAAAATAAAATAAAATGTATTATATAATCTAAGATGTGTTTCTGGATTGAAAGAGATCGACCTGTCATATTATAATATAACCCTTCATGTCTCCTCTGAAGGACAGTGTCTGCCTCTTTACACCTCACTGAAAACATGACTCACTCATGACTAGTGTTCCTACACAATATTTTATTGTTTGAATTTCCACAGCATTAAAAAACAGCAGAATTCAACCATGATTGTTTATTTTGGGATTTAACCACATGTGCAACATCCTATTGTTACTAAGAGTCACAGCTGAAATGGGTACGGAGGTTACAGAGTCTCATTTTAATGTCACCAGCCGAGACGTGTGTCATGCCAACAAAGGGAAGCGGGACCCGGATGCAGGCTGAAATGCAACCGGAACAACAGGGGACTTTATTCATAGGAACATGCGCATGAATAAGCAACAATGACAGAACTAAGGAGCACAGAGCTGGGCAGAACTTAAATAGGCGAACNGAAGCAAATCAGCAAGAAAACAAAAAAAGATTCATGGAAACAGGAGATCATGTCACACTGAAAAGTTAAATACTGAATGCAGCTTAATACAATTAGCATTTGGCATTAGAACATGTGCTCTGCATGTCTGATAAGAGCCATGATGTTGATAATGGAGTACCCCAGTCTGCATTTCTATATTACACAGCCGAAAGCATATTAATACAAACCGGAGCAGATGTACGAAACCTACAGTCTGTTCACTCATCTCCAGATGCACACACACCTACAATCTTGGTGTCATTCTCAGTGGTAGGATCATCAATCGATCAGCAATCGAAGCATCTCTTACGCTATCAGATTTTCCAGATCAGACGCCAGAACACCTGTTTCACAATATTACAAGTAAATCGCTACAAAGGAGAAAAAGTTACCTGATCCAAAATGAACATTAGCAGCATCTGTGACAAAGAAATGGCCAGGAGGAACTTATAAAAGACATACATGCACATTATGGAGCTGAAGAACTCGTGCCTCAGTGTCTCACTACTGTCTGATGCAAGACTTCCTGACTATTGGCGATACCAGTTCAGCCAGATCCCACTGGCAAACAGAGACTCTGAAAACTCATTCTTGGATCAACTTACCCTTTCTGAGCACAGCTGGGCTTGGATTCGTGACTCTTTCATGTATCCTTAATAACTTCATTAATTACTTCTTAATAACTCCACCAACTGCATTACAGTGAAGGTACTGATGTCCAGCAAGGCTAAATGATTTACCTTTTCCTTATTGTCTGTCACGTATTCACACCCACATACACACATACCTGAGTGGAAGATTGAAAATGAGATTAAGGCATACGGTGGAGAGAGACAGAGAGAGAGTGAGAGAGTGAAAAGCTGCATTTTTCTTAACACTTTTTCTCCCAACTGATCTACCTTTCATACATCTGAATGGAGCTCAACGTGCTTTACAGACAGTGCAAATAGCTATGGGAGGTATTTCCTGCCAAAAAGAAAAGGAAAATGATAATGACAAAATAAAAACACAACCTCCACATTGCCTAAGTGCGATGATCCCTTTTAATTTTCAGGCATGGCTCATTAGAACCACACTAGGGAGAAATAGGAGAAGGGAAGAGAGTAAAGGGTTGATCACCTTTACGATGACCTGAGAGCTTGCTGGGCCGAATGGGGCCGCTCAGAGCCACGGTGTAATCAGGGGTTCCGCAAGGGTATGTAGAACTTCCCTTCCCCACTATGACACAGAAGCCTCCTTTCCCCAGCTAATAGGAGGTCCAATGCCATGCGATTTTGCAAAGCCACCAGTTTGACTGCAAATAATTTAATGGCTTTCATGGTAACAACTGAGTTTTGAGTACAACCTGCACGGGAGGCTCAAGATGAACTAAATAATAATACCAATCTCCACCCGTCTCAGATATGGAGGGAACAGTATATCCCCTTGCCCTGTCCCTTTCACCGCAGACAAATGCTCAGCGGGGAGGAATCTCCAGAGGAAGCTAGGGAAATTAACAGCGGCCACACAATGTGTAGGAGAAAAGTTTGAACCCCTCAAATTGTATGACCTCCCTGTAGAGGACGTGAGGCAGCAGCTGAGCAGATACAAAGCTGGCAAGGCAGCCAGGCCTGACGGTATTCCAGCTAAAGTACTGAAGCTATGCAGCACAGAACTAGCTCCCATCCTCCATTCCATCTTCTGGGACTGATACAGATTGGCGACTATTCCTACAATTTGGAAAACGTCCACCATTGACCCGGTATCTAAGAAACCTCGTCCCTCTGGGCTAAATCATTACTGGCCGGTAGCACTCACATCCATAACAATGAAATACCCAGAGAAACTTACGCTTCATATAATCCAGCTGGTTGTCGGACTGCAATCGGTGCATCTCTAGCATTAACAGATTTTAATAGAATTTAATTTCTGTGCTGACTATACAAACCATAAAATCTTTTTTTCTTTCATGATATTGCAACATTGTATTTCACTTTCCTTTGTGTAGGAGAGACAAACTTTTTGCCTAGCAGAGAAGATAAAATCATTCTTAATCATTCTTAAATCGTCTTATTTCTTTACCCAAAAGTACCCAGAATCCTCAGTATTTTAACCGAGATTTTCAACCTGCTCTCCACTCTGTCCCTTTGTGAATGACTTGAGGTCAGTACACCAGGGGGCGCTAGGCAACCACTTTGTCACCTTCTCCCAGCCTATACTAACATCCATTTTTTATTTTCCCACTGCCTAATACTGGAAAACCAGCAAAGTTTTTTTTTCCCCAGTTATTGCAGTCTGGGCCAGCCGTTTTGAAAAGAGCAAAACAATTAAAAAAAAAAAAGACATACTTTATTTCTGTAAAAAGTTGAACAAGAAATGAAATGATAAAGCAGACACAATTACAGGGGTGAATTAAAACAAATAGGAGCAGTTTTCACAATGCATGGGGCCAGGAATACTGACGGTTATCTGTGATCATCTACTGCTTGTCATAATCACAGTATCTTTCATCTTTTGCCTAGTACTATCTCCACATTTAAGGACGGTACCTTAAAAAAAAAAAAAAAAAAAAAAACAAACTTGAAACCCATACATTGATTATAATAAATAATTTAGAGCCACACATCAAGGTGAAGTAACTACTGTCAGGGAGAGAATTAAAAAAAAAAAAAAAAAAAAAAAAAAAGGACGGTACCCCTTCCATGTGATTCCAAAGTCATGAGAATGAACAGGCTTGACCAATGGAATCTGACACTTAGCCACTCCCCCTTCCAAGCCACTCCCCCTTCCAATTACACTCCTTGCTATTTGCCCTTGTCCACCCAAGCAAAGAAGTTACAGCGTGCTTCTGGGTTGGAGGCGTGTCCCTGTGGCCTGGCACACACAAAGAACTGGCGGCCCAGGTTTGGCCCCGCCTTCTTCACCGTCCTCAGCACACAGGGTTCCTCGTGAGCCTTGCAAACTGGCGGCTGTGGCGGGCCTCGCAGAACCGTCCTCCAGAATCCATGCGACGCCTGGGCTCCTGCTTCTCCACTATTGCTGTCCTCCTTCTGACCGCTACCCCGAACCCTACTAGCGGCCTCCCTCCCGCTGGTCGATCCCACACCTTGAATGGATGCTGGTCTGTCTGTGATAGGCTGCGGTTTATCGACAGTCACTAAAGTTGGTGCTGAGTCCTCGTTCTTCTCTGAGGCTGCCGAGCACAGTGGGTCAGCCGGATTCGATCTGGGTTTGAAAAACGCTAACAAGCTCCCCTGTGGATTTAACGAGCTATTGGACATCTTGCTCTTCTTCCCCTTGGTGCCATGCAGCTCTGGTGCCCCTGCTTTCCTTTTCGCGCAGCTTGGGGTGCCCTCTATGGGCTTGATGTTTTCACAAATCTCCCTCGACTCTTGGGAACCAGGCAGAGGGTCCTTGGAGTCGCTTGGGGTCTGTTGATCCACCTTGACCAGAAAGCGGGACAGTTTTTGCTGCCTGCCTGCAAACTCGGGCATGTAGCGGGTGCATAGTGGCGGACATCTGGGACTGGGCAGGAGGGCACAGCTCAGGTGTGCCCAGACGGGGCAGTGGTCGGACCCTTCCACCTCTGGCATTATGTCAGTCTCCAGGAACTGGGTCTTGGCCAGGGCTTGGTCGGCGAAGATGTAATCAATCCTTGTGCCATAGTTAGTCTGCCGGGCCCCCGTGAGAGTGGACCAGCACGTGAAGGCACCCTCACGTGTCGGGTGAAAGTACCGGAACATGTCCACAAATTTCCTGCCAGCCATTTGAGACTCCAGTCTGTACTCTTCATCCTCATCTTCCTTGTCGTCCTTCTCCTCCTCCTCCTCCTCACTTTCTCCAACTAGAAAGCTGTTCAGCCATTTCCTCCCAGGATTCTCCTCAAAATTATCCTGGAAGAGGTGAAAAATATGAAAAACTTCAAATACAAGAAAATTAAAGCAGGTTTATTTTAAAAGTCTTAAAAATGCATACTAAATCAACCTAAATGCATACAGTAAATTTGTCATTTTTAAAATTATGGCAGTGAATTTAAGTCTGTCCTCATCTGCCTTAATACTGCAGTTTCATTTCGTGTCGATATCCGCCCCCCTTTCAGAACGCTGGGACAGACACTTACGATCTCGTCGGGGTCACAGTGGTCTATCTGCTTGTGGGAGGTGTTAATGTCGCCCAAAACGATCACATGGCTGTGCAGGAGAGAGGGAAAGGCACAAAGCCAGGTCATTCCTGGAGGGGCTGACCCAACCACACAAGCCACTCTCGACACACTCACCTCCCTGCTCCTAAGAGGGCCTCAGTCCGAATCTGAAGCAGCTTACAGAAGCGCAGCTTGAAGATTCTCCGCTCTGGTTTCTCTGGGTCAGCTCGCGGGCAGTACACATTCACCACCGTCAGCGTCTCCTCGCGGTCCTCACACCTGGAGCAAACAGAAACACTTGAATCTTGCTAACATGACCCAGTTCACATGGACAGCGGTCAGTCACACTGGGATACTGAAGCCAGTCAGATTACACCACGTCACAGTATACTGACTCAGAGCTGCAATTCACTCTCCAGAATAAACAAAGGATGGGGGAGAAACGGGTGTAGGGATGCAGGCCTGAAGAAAGGTCATAGATCCGTATGCCTGAAAAATGCCCCGTAATCTGAACTGCTCTTGCAAGATATCCATCTGGATTAAATGACGGGCACTATAAAGAAACTGTCAAGCAATGGAACATAATAATAATAATAATAATAATAATAATAATAAATCATCATTATTATTATTATTATTATTATTATTATTGTTGTTAACATTTTGACATATGAGATCGAGGCCAAGTCTACCGGATAATGAATGCTGTGGTCTCTAATAGACTAGAAGATCTGAAAATGTATCAGGGTCAAATTTGCAGGGGACTCATGTTACCCACTGAAAGAAGGAACACACGCAGAGCTCCGTGACAGCATTACTCATGGTCACACGACTTCCTCATTTCAATGTGGAACAGATCAGGCGATTCCAGCTTAAAAATAAAATGCCTTTTTCCTGCTTTTCATTATAACAAAGAACAAGGACTTCCATGACTGGACTGCAGGTGAGATCAGTGATGATTTACATGAAGTGTACTTGTTAAAAGGATATTTTTATTTATAAATAATCACTAGGGTGACCATCTAATCCATGTCAGGAGGGACACTATGAGCTACTTCAGGTTTTACAAACTACTTTAAAACTGAATGGCTCCTGTGCTCGGCTAAATTGTTTGGTTCTTGAACTTTTACTGGTTTGTGTTCTTGATTGAAAGCCTCATCCAGCTGTTTCACATTAAACTTAGTAACACATGCATGGTTATCGGAGACTAACCAATCAGCACACAGCAAAAACTCAGTGCTTAAGTGAAATCCGGGTCCTTTTAATTGAAATGGTAGTTTACAAACCCTGTCGTAGCTCAGTGTCCCTCCTGACATGGATTAGGTGGTCATTCTAGTCATCACCCAGATCACAGATTCTACGCAACCACACAGGAGGTAAGACACAGCGGAAAGCCGAGAGTTCCGAGTGCTGGGTTATGTTACTTCTCGCTGGATTCCTTAAAATTGTGCTTGTGATAAAAATGTTGATATCAGAGTGGTAGATTTGGCTGTTTTGGTTGGAGCCTTTCACTGGAGATGTGGGTGGGATGTATCCTTCTAGAATTCTGCTAAGCTCATGTTGGGTCACCATCCGGCCTACGCACACACAGGTTCTGAACACCTCCACACGTCCTTACCTCACTTTGTGCTGTGTGATGACGGCTCTTCCCTCATTATCTAGTGACTGTAGCTCCTCATCTTCAAAGTCATTCTGGTCACCGTAACACCCTACAGCTCCATCGTGACTGGTCAGCAGTCCTGTCAATCCTTCTTCTGCAGCAACCGGAGTGGCACTGTCTCTGCAGAATGTTGCCACCCCTTTAAAAACAAATTACAGATGTTACTTCTGCATAAGTATGGAGTTGTAATGTCGTGGAATTATGCAGTAAGTCATTGTTAGTAGGGCGGCTCACCTGAATACCCACTGCGACCTCGACTGAAGCTGAAGAACGAGTTGTATCCCTCTATGATGGCAGTTTTCTCATTCAACAGATCTCCTAAGAAACAAAAATAATCATGAGGCTAGAAAGTTGTTTATAAACAAATGCACCTATTTCACCACCATATGCTTTTGTTCCTATTCGGGGCAATCGATCACGGTAGCTGTTACTGATAAGCTACTTGTTTTTTCTATACTATTGTAATGTTTGATTATACAACACGGAGTATATCGTAAAACACTTCTTTGGCTGCGGTACGCCGAAGCCTGCCTCATGGCCTTCTCGTCGTACTTTGGCACTGCACTTGCCATCATGCAGCAGCCGTACACTGTGCGCCTTGACAGCATGTAAAACCCGGACAACAGCGCGCGCTCAGCTTACGCGTCACTTTCGTCTCTTGCAAGCAGATGATGTCGGCGTCCAGTGACTCTAGCGCCTTCTTAATCCCGCCTTTAAAAGTCCGTATGCCGTTAATGTTCCAGGTGACGATCTTCATATTCAGGTTTGGGGGGTTGTGGCATCCCACTTTCTTAAATCTCTAGATTGGACCGGTAATTGCACAACAGGACTGGCTGCATAGCGCGCTTCCGACTTAAACAGCCAATTGGATGAGACCCGGTCACGTCATCTGAGGGGGGAAATTACATCATAAAATGGGTGGGCCTTAAATGCGCATGGCGGGACGGGCGATTCCTGCTTAAATATCCAATCACGGACAAGTAGCCGGGTGTCACTAGAAGGATGTCACGCCCCATCGCAACTTCAGCTGATATAAACGTTTTGCACATAAATTGGAGTTTATGCTGCACGTTGGTGGAAGGTCAACGGCGTAGTCGTAGTGATGAAACGACGACAAAAGCAAAAGTTTATGCAACAGAAAAACCTGTATCTGGATATGTCAAACATGCATACTGTGCTGCACGTAATATAAATTTGAGGTTCCAAATTCTTTAGTAGTTGTCAATTAACACCAATATTTAATATTTTATTCTTATGATTTTATTCATGCATGGCATAACCAGCGAATACAGCTGGGTGTTTACTAAAACGATTTTAGACCATGTACTTTTTTCATAATGCATCCTCTTGTATAAATTCCCATTGAAAACAGAAGACTAACAACTTCTTAATTGGCCTGGTATGAACATAACCGTAATGAGAAGATATATTTGAACACTGCCGGTACAAAAATTTGCAGACGGTAACCCGACTCATTTGTTACCAACTGTAATCTTACCGTGCGTGTCTCCGTTTGTATGTATAACTGTCCTTCTCGTGTTTCAGGACAGTACCGGCGTTTATGGTGGATGAGCGGCCATCCATCACATTGACTTAAGGGAAGATGACGTTACTTAGCAGGCGGGGGGTCGGGCTTGTGTGGTTAGCATCAGCATATCCCAAAGCGAGGTGAGGGATAAAGGGAATTCAAGATGCATTAATCGCTGTGTGACCTCGGCGGGCCGGATGCGACAGTACTGTGGATTGTGTGGAGTCATCATTGAGGATAGTACCGAAGCAAAAGGAGTACAGACGCAATGTGCGCCCTTTGGAAGTATAGAGCTGCAGTGAAGAGGTGAGAGACGAGCATAATGCGTGCACATGGCCCTCCCCAGCCTGCAGGCTCCATCACGCTGAGCAGATCGGCTGTGTGTAATTCTGCATACGTTTTTTCATCGCCGTATCCGACAGCATTTTTTTCTGTCCGCTGGATTGGACATCTAAACACATCAGCTAAACTGCTATGTTGGAGATCCGCTCTTGTGAAATCCTAAACCAAAGGTGAGCTTGCCCAGGTGGTTAATGGAAACCGGTTATTATCTAGCCGCATAATGAACCTGAATTTTTAACGGTGTTCTTGTGGAGGCGTTGGAGGGTCAGTTGTTTCGGTTTGCAAACCAAACTTTTCCTGTCCTTGGTATTGCCGAGAATGATTTATATTCGAGGTTGTATCTGAGGGATTGATGGTCAAAGGACGGATATTACCTCTGTGGTTGTGAAGTTAAGTTATGTGTTTCGTGTCATCATTCACGTTCCGCGAATTGTTCCGTCCTCGCCTTAGTAGTGTTTGTGTATTGCAAAAACTTACACCTGTTATTGCAAATTAACCAGTTGCGGTGATTGTCAGTCTTAACCCTTCTGAAGAACCTCAGATGTGGTCTGCTTACCTGGTGGCTGTTTGTGGTATTTTGTTTGAACCCGATCACCGCACTGAAACAATGACATGGGGTGATGTGGAGATTGAATGTTCATCTTTATATTTCTATGGGTAGCGAAAGTTATTCTGGTGGCTCTAAGTGTCCAAATCCCATGGGTCAAAGAGACATTCTAGCAGTTTGCACATTCATCCAATCCATTGCTATGGACGTGTCAGCAGGTCTTGGTCACACTGGACCCTAGATTCTGGCTGGCTGTTTTGTTCCCATAATAGGCTTAAAGGATTCTGCCTTGTCCTCCCTCTCCCTTCAGTCCTGTAGGAAATTTACACCAGTGCCTGTATCAAACGTGGTGCAGCCTCTTCTCTTAGAGTAGCTGCACACATGGAATACTAATGTAGCTTGAGGTGAAAACTGTACTTGTTTATGTAATGCTGTCTTTCTGTAGTGGGAAAGCGAGTAAAACTTGGAGAAGCTGACCTCTTTCCTTAGATTCCAGGCTCCCCTGAGCTCAGGGATCAGAGTATTATTTTTTTTTAGTCTGTGAACAAAGTGCTTTTGTTTTTGTTTTGTTTATTAAAATTTTATTTAAAGCAAGTCCTGAATTTTCTGCTGGCCTGAAGTGTTCTCAGTTCTGTGTTGTGATTGCTAGTTTACCATCAAAAACTGAATGGTTTTAGAGACGCAACTGGCTTATTCATAAAGAGTGTTGGACCCTCCATTGCAAATGGTAAAAAAGATACAGTTCCTGATATTCAAAGATTTTCTTACTGTCACATTCAAATTTTTTCTGATGTGCACACATCAATCAGTATGAAACATTCTACTAGATATAGTTTTTTTTTCCATTATTCAATGACTGTGTCGCATAAATAAGATTTGTTTGTTTGTTTTTGTAGTCTAGCAACGTGGCAGAAAGATCTCCCAGCATAATAGTTTCCTTCAAAACCAACAAATATCAGAATAAAAGAAAATGTTGGTGGTAAAATATGAAGTCATCAGAAATGAAACATGCTTTAACAGAAAATGTATACAAATTTTAGACCAGGTAATTTATTTGTAAATGTGATGATGGGGTGAGTACTGACTGGGCGATGGGATCAGGCAGGGCCTCTTGATCATAGCTGCGCTGACATGATGAATTCGCTGTTATCTTCCCATCTGTTGCTTGCCCTCCACAGTGAGAAGATGCTCAGTGGCCGGTGGCTGCAGTGAGACCGTGGGGTTGGGGGTGGGGGCCGACATGCTGGAGGAGGGCGACGTCGCTGGTGGCGGCAGCGACCGCGCCTTGAGAGCAGAGCTGGAGCGGCTGAGTCTGGAGCTGCAGGAGGCCAACGAGGAGAAGCTGCAGGCAGCCCGGTATGGCCTGGCCGTCCTGGAGGAGAGCGCCACCCTGAGGAGCAGGCACAGCCAGCTGGAGGAGGAGCACGAAGTCCTCCGGCGGGAGGTGCAGCAGCTCAGAGAGGTCAGCAGTGGAGGCCTTGTCTGTGTCAAACCCGTGCCTCAGATCTGGCCTGATCAATGACCTCCTGTCCACTGTCCACTGACACTATGACACTCTTAAATGGCCCCAGTCTACAACCATTGATCAGGCAATCAATCTCCATTTTACCATTTAAGCAAAACAACACAATTTAAGGCACAAGTAGAACTTTATCACAGCTGCAGTCAGACCATAATACCTCCTGGTAAAGGTATACCTGTAAACTGCTCCTTTTGTTTAGAATAGGGGTTGGGAACCTGATCCATGGAGAGCCGGCTCAGGCTTTTGGGATGACCTCTCAATCAGCCAATAACAGAGGGTGCCCAGGACTGGAGCTGAGAACCACTGTTTTATTATTGGCTGATTGAGAGGTCATCCCATAAACCTGCACCCACACCAGCCCTCTGTGAGTCAGGTTCCCTACCCCTGGGTCAGAGCTTTAATGTCCACTTTGCACTGAATGCCCTGCTGTGAGGATTTGGTTTGGCAGTTTATGGCATAATGAGCAGTTCAGAGGAACAATCCTGAGTCAGGGTGGCACAGGTAGCTCCTCAGCATGGTCCAGGGAGCTCAGGGTCACTGAAATGTTGTGATGTTCGGCCGCTGCAGGCGCTGGCGGATTCCATGAGCAGCCATAAGCGGGCAGCGGCTGACGGGGAGAGCCGCGAGGAGAGCTTGCTTGAGGAGACGGCCAACAAGGAGGCGGCCATGGCACTTCGCATGGAGGAGCTGAAGGCCGAGTTGCAGCAGAGCCATGTGACACTGACCAATGTTCACGCCGAGAACGACAGGTTGGGGGCGCTCTCCAGCCAGCTGAAGAAGGTAGGAATGCCGCACAGGTGGCAAGGTACAGTTCACGCCTCTGTTAAGCGGTGATTATGTGTGTGAGTCAGTCTAAGGAACAGTCTTCATTTTGACAGTGTGTGCAATAATAGGATTATGTTTTCTCTGCTCCAATTTCCACATGCTAACATGCATTCCCTTTCACAATGGCGCACAGTGATGTGGACACCTTTGGGACATTCCTCTGTGATTGGCTGGCTGAAATTATTGCTTCCCTTGCTGCTGAGTTGTTCTGAGTATGGTCAGTCCTGTCCACCAGGCCAACTGTTGGATTCCCCCAACTACTGACCAGTAGCAGTTCTAGACCATTTCAACTCGGGGGGTGGGCAGACTTTGTTCAGTTAGGGGGGGGCAGATGAATTTGACCTTAATGTCCTCTAAGTATTACTTACACTAGGCTGCCCGCATTAAGAAGCGAAAGACAATTTTGAAAACCGATGTTATTTAAGCAATGCTTCGCAGTCACATTTTACAGTTTTTACAGATGTATAACTCAGATTTCTTGCTTAGACTGTTCGCTTCATTTTTTTTTTTCTGTTGCTATCTTTGCGTTTCACCAACAGAAGCAACTCGACCACCTGGCACCTGGAAGTGTGTCAAGAAAATGTGCTTATGTTTGTGTTTCACCTGTTCCTAGTGCAGAAAAATGTATCAATGTCAATAATAATAGTAATAATGCATTTATTTCAGACCCAAGTAGCATATGTACAGTGGTACCTCAGTTCTCGAACTCATTAGAACTCGAATTTCTTACAAGTCAAACAACCAGTTAGGAAAAAAATTACCTAGAACTTGATCTGAATCTCAGAAGTCAAACCGTCAACGCCGACCTAAGAACTTGTACGCACGGGAAATGAGTCATGCGGCACGTCTCTCAGCGGAAACAAAGGGTAACACTTCAGTCTCAGCCTCGCATTCGCTGTGATAGCATCCTGCATGTTTACACTAGCTGAATACATATAGACAGTAAAAATACATTTAGACAATGATAGACAGTAACAGTAATTTTTATATAAAATACATTTTGAAATAAAGATTTCTTATTATTTAAATATTAATAATAAACCATCAATACATTTAATTATAATAATATTGTGCCCGTCGGTGAAGGGACCGGAGACAAAGGTGCAGACGTCAGGGTATCGGGGAATACGGGGTTTAATTACAGGTAAGGCAGGCAAAACGCAGACGGACAATACAATGACTGGACTGGGGAAACAAACTGAAACGTGGAGGAAATACAGAGGACTAATGACAACAACCAGAAACAGCTGATCACATGGGGATTCCACACAGGGTTAACGAGGGGGCGTGACAAACGGAAGGAGCTGGGCAGGACGCATTGTTTTTTTTTTTTTTTTTAACTTTACACATTGTTTGGATACATTTATTTTCTTACTTTACAAATTACTGTTTTGATAAATGTGCTTATATGTTTTTAGTACAGTATATGCTCTTGTTTTATCTGGTTCATTTTGTGTTTAAATGCTAAAAACATTTAGGTGTAATTTTTTGGGGCTGGGAACCAATTAATTGGTTTTCCATTATTTCTTATGGGGAAAATTCGATCAGAACCCGAACTTTTTAGGATTCAATCCGTAGTTCTGAACGGATTAAGTTCGAGTTCTGAGGTACCACTCTTTAGCAGGGCAGGGGGGGCATGCGTGTTGTCACTGCTACTGACACTTCCTGTGGGCCAGGCGTACTTCCTCTGCCACCCAACCTAGTGTGTACACTTTGGTATGCTCTCTGCACTACTTTGAGGAGCCTAGCAGTTTTTCAGCATTAAACCCATTATATACAAACATCTCAAATGGTACAAAACACCATGACAGTAATTGCTTGGTGCAGAGCATCGAGGCTCCATTTGGATAATAACACTCACGGTTTGTGGGGTCTGTCTCGTGGCTTAATCTGATGCACTTAGTTACTCCTCCCCTCCATCCAAGTAAAACTCAATGATAACAAATCAAGCCATCCGACTCCTATGGATGAAGCTGTAAGAGGGGGTGAATGTTTTCTGGAGACATCCCCATGTGTGTAACCTAGTGTTTACATCAGGAGTGCGAGCACCTGGAGGAGGAGAAGGACCATCTGTGTAGTGAGATGAAGGAGTACAAGCTACGGGAGGTGAGACTGCTGCAGGACAGCAGCGAGCTGGAGGAGGAGAACATCTTGCTGCAGAAGCAAGTCTCCATGTTGAGGGAGAACCAGGTTAGGCCCCGCCTCGTGCTCTCCACAGCCACTGCATGTGGCTGATGTCTTCTGTGGCCCCCATCACAGTCTGAACAGAACTGGCGCATTTAGAAACTGAGCTCCATGCTGAGAGTAATGCGTCGCATTTACAGATCAGTGGAGAAGTTGCCTGATGTCTAGCTGCAGTGTTAAACTCTTCTAGTTCCCAGGGGCACATGGGTAAGAGCCTGTCCTGGAATTCGTTGACCAGCACTCTCATAAACTGCTGCTCCACCCATCTAACCATGTTTTCCAGCTTCCCAAACCCTGTCAGTTATTCTCTCAATGCTCCCTGGACAATAAGAGAGCATTGTCAAACAGGCGTACCAGCGATCATTTTACCAGGAGATTTCAAACATTTTTGTTTCAAGGTCCACCTACTGAGAACAAGTCCTCTTTGTGGGAGACACACTGTCAGCTGTTTGTCAACAATAGGCTCAGTCAGGGTTCCAAACGACAAAGGCCAGTTGTAGGTTTTGTTTACTGGAGGCCCACGTGCTGACCTAACGGCAGAGGAGATACCAAGAGCTGGCCATGGAGGTGGGGGACTATGGTCAGAAAACAGGAAATGCATTTCTGTAGCACAATGTAATCATTAACAGTTTTCAGGGCTTATGAATCATAGTTCTGCGTATTTTCATTAATAAGAAACTTTAATCTCGTGAAGCGAGATTCCGGTGTTACAGCAGCAGCTGTAGACGGGATCGGACAAAACACACAACATAAGAACACAGTATGTGTGGAAGTAAAATTGGACATTAGTAGGCCCGGGAGGGGAGGCATATTGGGTCTGTTATGTTTTAGGCTTGCTTTCTAATTTTTCTACCACTTATGAAAGACATAAATGTTTAAATGATGTACTGTATACAAATACCCAAATGGCAGCCAAAGTCATAGACCTGGGATTGTACTGTACCATGTGATGAGTATCAATGTATAAGCAGTCCAAGGAGTTTGGTGGTTCGGTGAGGAGACTTGACACACATCCGTAATAGTTAGTAGTGGTTAGTAGTAGAATTGATCTTTTGTTCTACCGTGTGGTGTAGCACATGGCTATTGGGTAAGCCATTCCCTGGTCCCTCTTGTGTAGAGCAGTGTTTCTCAGAACAATCCTGGGGACGGTCTATGCTTTTGCTCCCTCCCAACTCTCAGGACTGGTTTGAGAAACTCTGGCGTGTCATTAGTGACTGTGCATTACTGTTTATACACACCTAAGTATAATGTAAAAATCTGGGACTGTGTGAACAGGTGGAATTTGAGGCCCTGAAGCTGGAGCTGGTCCAAAAGCAGGAGAATCAGAACATGCTAAGGGCCCAACTGGAGGAGGCGGCACGGCTGAAGGAGATCACGGAGCGCCAGCTGGATGAGGCGCTGGAGGCCCTGAAGGAGGAGCGAGAGCAGAAGAATAGTCTGCGTAGGGAGATCTCCAACCTGGCATTCCAGCACTGCAGTGTCTCCAGTACCTTGGAGCTGCATCTGGACCAGTTGGGGGATATTGGGGAGCAGGAGGACCAGGACAGTGGTTACAACAATGGCCAAGGCTCAGTGGGCCCTGTCTGCCATGGCCCCCACCTCGCACCAGCCCCGGGCCTCGTTTCTGACCTGCTAAGCGAGCTGCACCACTCGGAGAGCCGAGACCTTAAACAGCAGATGTTGCAGGTACCAGAACCAGGCCTGGATCCCATAATTGCACAGCTGGCATCATTTCTGGTCTTTGACCCATTTTGTTTTTGGTTCTAATTTCCATTTATATCTGCGTTTTTGTCATTTTCCTTAATGTCTTAACATTGTGAGGCACATTTTCACTGTGGACTTTGTATACATAAAAGCGACTCCTCCCTTGAAAAGAGAGATTGCCAGCTCTCGTCCAAACCCTGTGTTGCTTCTTCACCCTGTCCCATAAACCCACGCTGACCCCCTTGCTTCGGTCCCCTAGGCTGAAAGGGAGAACTCGGCCTTGTCCAGCACCGTGCAGGACCTGCAGAGGCAGCTGACCCTATCCCAAGAGGCCTTCACTGAGCAGCAGGGCAGGATGGAGGCGCTGGCCCAGAGCCTAGAGGTCCTGCAGAAGGGCGTCGGCCAGGAGGCGGTCCTGTCTGTGGAGGTGCCACAGCTGCGGGAGGAGCTGAGGGAGGCGAGGGCACTGCATGAAGCATTGGAGGGCCGCTACCGCAACGAGAAGGAGCGGTGGAGAGGCGAGGCGCTAGAGCTGGCCGAGAAGATCCGCAGGTGCATCCGGGCCAGCCGGCTGGACCAGCAGCGCATCCTGGAGCTGGAGACGGAGATTGGCGCCACCCGGAAGGTGGCCATGGACTCTGAGGGCCACCTCACTGTGGCCCGGGAGGAGCTGCTGGCCTTCTCGGAGGAGCTGGCCAACCTCTATCACCATGTCTGTGTCTGCAACAACCTCACACCCAACCGTGTCACACTGGACTATTACCGTGAGGGTGTTCGGCAGCGTCGGCCACAGCGCCATGGCCCCCTGGGCAAGACCCACCCCGTGGACCCCTCCGCCGGCACTGGCGACTCCTCGGCCAGCTGCCCAGGCTCCCCCACACTGGACGTTTTTGATCCGAGTAACGTGCGCAGTCTGGTGGCGCTGATTCGCCGCCAGATGAGACACCTCCAGGTAGTGTCATAGCTGCTGAGAGCGTGGTCCTACACTCTTTGAGCCAGTTTTATTCAGAATGTTTTCAGTGGTTAGTGCTGTGTTCTTCTAGGGTTTGTTACACAACGATGTGGGTGTATCACAGTAAAGACTCACTGTCCATACTCGCAGGCCACCATTGAGCTGTGCCAGCAGCGGGGAACATTGACCTCCCCGTGGTCCCACGTGTCCTTTGACATGGAGCGGGATGCTGGGGGCCTCCTAGAGGAAATCCTGAAGCTCAAGTCCATGCTCAGCACCAAAAGGGAGCAGATTGCGACCCTCAGGACCGTCCTGAAGGCCAACAAACAGGTACCTCAAACATCTCATAAGTCAGCTGAAAGTATGCTTTCAGGGTTCCTCTGTAGTTTGGATTTTCCTAGGCTGGCTGAAGGCTGAGGATACGACATAATGTTTAATGTGTTGAGAAACTTGTTGGGCTTATTCTGGAGTTGCTATGCTTTCCACAAGGCGTTGTCAGATGTCAGGTACAAATGTATTGGGAAATGTAATGCTCGTAACTTTTTTCAGAATTTTTGTTATTGATGTTTTGTCATCTTTGCAGGAGCAGATGCTTGTCATCCTTCTTGTGTTTGTCGTGACGCATCGTCAGGGTGTTCTGAATCTTGCTCCATTTCACTGTAACACCATTTTCCCCCCTTTTGTCCATTTATCTCCCCAGACAGCGGAGGTGGCCTTGGCAAACTTAAAGACTAAATACGAAGCAGAGAAGAGCTTGGTGTCGGAGACCATGCTGAAGCTGAGGAACGAGCTGAAGGCCCTCAAGGAGGACGCAGCCACCTTCTCGTCGCTCCGCGTCATGTTTACCAGCAGGTCGGTGCTGCCTCGCTGTATCCTGATCAGTGCTGTCCCAAACGATTATTCTTTAAACGATTAATCTAGCGATTTTTATTTTTATTTTTCGATTATTCGACTAATCTAACAACTAATTTTTCGATTGATCTGATGATAAATGTATTGATAATTATTTTCATGTTAGTCATTTAACACAATTCACTCCCTCCCCCACACACACAAGCCTGAAATTAACAAGGTCTTGCAAGGTAATTCAGAGGAAATCCCTCTAGATTGTCATTAATGAAACTAGAAGTAGCATAAATGAGATTTAAAATCTCATAGTGTAGAAATGTCAGGCTGTATTTTGAAGGAGAGTTTATATCTGGACCCCCCATGTTTCATTGGGGAGATGCTGGCTTCTTCCAAAGAGAGAGTGGTACTGCAGTCATCTGCACAGCCAGCCCCCAACACACACACAACTCTGTAATCCCATCACTGTGAGGGAGCAGGTCACATGCAGGTGTTTGTCACCCGTGAGGGTCCCACCCTTCAGGGTGAGACGAGATAGATGCTGGATATTCTCCCTGAATACCGCCAGGTATTTGGGGATTAGCTGTGGGCACATTTTGTCATTGTTAGTGGTTTGCTTTGAAAATCTCCTCCCATTTTCACTGTAAATTAAGCGAGTCGTCTCCTGTGAGAAAGTTCATCCATACATCCGTCCATTTTCTGTAACTGCTTGTCCTGTTCATGGTCGTGGGGGGGTCTGGAGCCTATGCCTGAGACTATGGCTACAAGCAGGGAACAACCCAGGATGGACCAACCCTTCATGGGACACACTCCACAGAGCATTCACTCACACACACACACCTACAGGCAATGACACGATGACATGGGGAGAACAAGCAAACTTCACACACATGGAGCCATGGTGGAGACTTGAACCCAGGTCCGTGAGGAAGATAATTAAAATTTTTTTTACTGTCCTTATTTTTGTTGGATTAAGTCAGACCTGGTATGGTTTGAAAGCTCTTCTTAGGAAATGTATTGACCTTCTTCTTTGAGTTTTCAGCAGCAGATCCCTTGAGTCGGAGAACTGTAGGGACTGGGGATGGTGCAACACTTGCTTTTGTGGTCAGGGTATGGATGGTGGAGTTGGGTTGGCTGTGATTGGGATGTTCTCCTCCCAGATGTGACCAGTATGTGACCCAGCTGGATACTATGCAGAAACAGCTGGCTGCTGCTGAAGACGAGAAGAAGACCCTGAACTCGCTGCTCCGCATGGCCATCCAGCAGAAGTTGGCACTGACTCAGAGGCTGGAGGACCTGGAGACGCCCCACAACTCCCTCAGCAATAGCGGCAGCCCCCGCCGCTCCCGGGATAAACTGCGCACGCTCAAGTCTGGCCGGGCCTCTAGAAGCCCATGTAGAAGCCCTGGTCAACCCCCAAGGAACAGCCCTCTCTCCAGCCCGGCCAGAACAGCTAGTGCCCCGCCCATTGGCCCATGCTGCACCGGTCACACTCGGACACTCTCCCGGTGCCTACAATCCAGCCCGGTAAGATCTTGTCTGCCACTACTCTACTCTCTGTGGCTGGTAGTCAAAATAACTTTATTCAGGAGTTTTTTAACCATGGCTTCCAAAGAGGTCCGTAATATTTTAATTTCCAGTTCTCTGATGGTTCCTTTTGTGTGGATAAGTGTTGAATTTTATCTCCTGTTCATCTTCAGAGATAGAACCAAGCGGACTTCAAGCCTCAACCGTAATCCAAGCTCCCTACTACATCTCTGATCTTTCTGCTCAAGTAATTACTGACTTCCATGGATTTGTCCATACTGACTCCAAGACTGAAGGTGTCCTTCTCACCATTGTGGTGGTTCTTCCCTCCATGAATGCCACTTTGTGCAAGATCTAGTAGGTTTTTTTTCCCTTAGTATTTGCTCAGGTTTTGCACCCAAGGCAGAGAAATGTTAACGGGTTTACTCTCAAAACCTGTCCATTCAAGTTCTAATGCTTTGTCCCTCTACATTGTCAAACAATTGTCTTCAGCCAGCTGTATGAATTACAGCTCAGGCTAGATTCTGACAGGGAAAAATCCTTCCATATATTTCCAGGGTTCTTTATCCAACCCAAAGGGTTCATCCTGCCATTTCACAGTGAAGGTGCCTTGGAGAAGTGGCTCCTGTATCATCAGATGCAATGGAAGTATTGACTGCATTTGATGTTTTGCATTGCTACTGCTGATGCCTACTGGTCTGGACCTGAATGTTTACCGGATCCCTCACTAAAGAATGACAGCTTAGATCTTATCTTCTACCATTCCCGTAATCTACCTGTTCCTACCTTGTTCCTACAGGTTTAATTTAGTGAATGCCGACACTGTTTTACTGGATAAAATACATTGTACAGGCAAGCTTTTCCACTAGAAAAAAGCACAATATTTCTGCTTGCCTTGACTGACTTTTGCACTTTTTTCCATGTTTTGCTTTTTTAGATACTTCTTTGACGCTCTGAGTGCTGTTTCAATGGGCCTCAGCACTTTAGTTCCAAGTTGCTTAGTGTCATTCTCGCTCTCAGACCCCCCCCCCCCCC